AGTACAAAGGACTTAGACAGTTATTCTCATTTGCCATTTTCCAAAGTGTATGCTAAGAACTCTTGTGGTGGTATTAATAAATATATATATATATATATATATACATTTTCTGTTCACAAAAGTTAGAATTTGTCTTATTTTTTAGCTCATTTTTGTCCTTCTTCTTTCATAATTTCCCTTATGGATCAAGCAAAGGAGCCATCACTTGGCTTTTCTTTGGTATAATATGATATGTATTTATTAGCCTGAAAAAATACAAAAAGAAAGACAGTGGATAATAGAGAATTGGGCATTTTTTCACCCTAAATTCCTGTTGGTATGCCCCTTATTGGGAATAATTTCCTATATAATAAGATATACTATGTATTATCTTATGTTAAATTACATATTATATATAAGAATATTTCTTATTATTTATAAATCAATTTCTTGCAATTAAATGTACCTTGAACTGTATGATCAAGGACAATTAATATCTAAATTTTCTTTCTACATGGCTGGACACTCCTGCTGATTTTTTTTTTTTCCAGTTGGTTTACTCAATCTCACTTTGTTTGCAAGGTTGAACTTCAGTTCTCTTCCAGATTATAAGGATCAAATTTGTGGTGACTATCTTATGGAACTGAGTAACATCTATGGAATCCAAATTATGTCATTTCTTATCATTTTTATTGTGCAAAAGGAATCGGCCCTTAAGTGTATGCTTATTTGGGGAATACACAGGAATTCCTGTCTGCAAGAGTACATGTGTTTGGCAGCCTGAGGCAGTGCTCCTGTAGTCTCCTATCACTATTATATAGTGTCTGAGTATAGGGAGGGCATACTTTCTGCACTTTAAGGCAACCCCCCAAGGTAGCTGTATTTACAAACATTGGCTCCCTCAGAAGTCTTAGGAGCAACCAGTCAGTATTAGTTAGCTTGATAAAGTGCTCCAAAGCACTTTATTTGCCAAATAGGCCATTTCCCTCCAATATTTTTAGATTGTTAGTAGATGACCATGCTATGTAAGCAACAACCCTCAGAAGCCAAAAAGCCTGTGTATAAAGATTACTCTATAAATCAAACAGAACGTAAAACATGGTTTAGTTTACACACATTAATGCCACAGATAATTATCACTGTGTCGTACAGAGACTAAGCATAAATGGAAAGCAGTTCACATAAATGGATACAACCACAGTTTCAGTGTCTATTTATTTAATTTTGTATCTACCCTTGCCCCTAAGATTATTTACCAGATCATCCTCTTCTGGTACTTCATCTTATTTTCTACTAACCACTTTCCTCTGAGATTCCCCAAAAGTCACCATTGTAATATTGTAGGCCATGTACCCAAACCAAGAGTCCCATCCCATGAGTATCTCAAATGACCTTCTCCCCATGCACTCTAAACACACACAGACCTTAGTTTTTGATTTCTGTTCTCTGTTTATCCTCTTTCTCCTCTCAAACGTATTTGCAAACACAGACTTAAGGCAGCAAAATTTGCAAGTCCCAAAACTAAAGGTTGCCTGTTAAGAGTTGCATTGACCACCCAGCCACTAAATGGAAGCGGTAAATGATGTCATAAGAAGGGGAAGGAGCACAGTGTAATGAAATTCTGGATACCATCTGGAACTTTGGGGGATAAGAGAATGAAGAGAGGAGAACAGCTACATTCCATATTTTCCTTTCTGATATATATCCCTTGCCACATAACCAGACCTTGCCTTTGAACTGTCATCATCTGTTAGTAAGTGCCCAGTGGAAAAGCTTCCATGGCTGAGAAACTGCTTATAATGCACACCTCTGGAAGTTTCATGATGCTGAAGTCTCTAAGAAATCATCTTTTAAATAAACTTGATCAACCTTGTTCACTCCTGTATTTCCACAACATATTTTGGAAAACTACCCCAAAACATTAAAAAAAAGCTTTAGTGTCAGTTTAAGGCCAATACAATATAATGTTCTGTTTGAAAATAATAGTAATAACAATGAAATACAACTTTATGGTAAAATTTAGGAAACACGGAAAAATATGAAAATAAAAATTCCCTGGAATTCCACTATTCACATAAATCTACTGTTAATATTTTGATGTATTCCCTTAAATCATTTTTCTATGCAAATATATATTTAATAATTATTTTCAAACCACATCGTCACTCAAGTAAGTGCAATTTCAATGATAAGGAACAGGTTACTCTGACCAAAAGTATATCTTTCACTAAAGCTCACCAAAAATTCCCTAAGTGCTACATGAACTCATTTTTATTTAAGATACAAAGCTTATAATCCTGAGTGCAAAGGCTCAAGATGGAGCATTGTTGTGAATGAACTTTAGCCAAATTGTAAATGGTAGCATTGTTAACTCCCCTTTTCTGGCAAAAAAAAAAAAAAAATGGTGGTTTGAAATCAAGATTCATTTGGGCCCAGGACCAGGAGTAAATGGAAGATGTGCTCATGTGTATGTGCTTTGGCTGAAATCTAGTGTAACTGTTGAGGAGTCTTCCTTTTACTAAGTGCTGGGAACATTAGTCATCTTTTCTACCTCCCTGAATTGATGTACATATATATATACATACATTTATATACAAAAAAAAACCCATTACTGTCAATTCAATTCTGGCTCATAGCAATCTATAGAACAGAGTAAAACTGTCCTATAGGTGCCCTGGTGGCACAGTGGTTAAAAGCTTAGCTACTAACCAAAGGTCAGCAGTTAGAATCCACCAGCTGCTCCTTAGATGAACTGACTGATGGCAGTGGATTTTATAATATATATTTTATATATACATATATATTTTATGCAGCCCTGGTGGCACAGTGATTAAGTGCCCAGCTGCTAACTGAAGGGTTGGTGGTTTGAGCTCGCTAGCTGCTCCATGGGAAAAAGTTGTAGCAGTCAGAGTCTGTAAAGATTAAAACCAAAAAACTCGAAGTCGTTGATTCCATTCTGACTCTCAGCAACGCTATAGGACAGAGTAGAACTGCCCCATAGGGTTTCTAAGGAACAGCTGGTGAATTTGAACTGCTGAACACTTAACCACTATGCCACCAGGGCTCCAATATATATTATATATATATATGTTTAATGTATATATAATATATTATGTATATATTAGAATCCAAATCATATGCTATAATACTAGAATTTATTGACATAGCACCACACTCTAGAGGGTTACTAGAAAAACAAACCCAAACGTATTGCCTGTCGAATCGATTCCGACTCATAACAACCCTGTAGGACAGATGATAACGGCCCCGTAGGGTTTCCAAAGAGCGACTGGTGGCTGGTGGATTCAAACTGCTGACCTTTTGGTTAGCAGCAAAGCTCTTAACCACTACA